GCTCGAGGAAACAACAACGACTCGTCGAGGATTCCGGCCTGTTCAGTCACGCTCTCCCGCGCGGGTATTCACTCTCGCCACCCGCGAGCCGTCGTGCTCTCTGTGCTTGCATTCACTCTCGACACTACTCTCGCACAGTAGAGAGCCATGGTCGAGGAATTCCTCGACCGTTATTCACCCTGCCTGTCCCTTCACTTGTCACAACAGCTCGCAGAGCCACCGTTCCTGGAGGTAAGGGATTCCGTCAGTGGTTATCAAAAAAAAGCTCCTAGCGAGGTCCCCCGAGTAGAGCCTTGTCGCCGGTCTTGTTCAACATTTTCACTTTCGATCTACCCCACTTGGGTAGAGGCTATTGATTTTGAAGACAAAATGACTTGAAGATCTATGGTGCTGTTGATACACATTCTTTTCCTTCTAAACTTCAAGAAGCTATCGATGTTATTGCGAGATGGTCCACTCGTAACTCTCTCCCGCTTTCCATAAAACTAAGGTGCTTCATTTAGGAGAAACTAACCCAAAAATACAGTACAGCATAAATAGTGGTATCCTTGATACAACCTCTTCAGTCAAAGATTTGGGTTTCCTCATTGACTCCAAATTGCGCTTTGATCAACATCTGAAGAAAAGCAAAACTGAGGGTCCACTTGCTTTTTAAATCGATCAAACTCAATGATCCTGAACTATTACTAAGAGCTATTACCTGAAGAGCTATTAAGAGCTATTAGATCCTGAACTATTACTAACTATAAAATATAATATATGCCTCAGAGTAAAATCTCTGTAAAGAGACTGGAAAAGATACAGAATAATTTCACCAGAAAGTTATTCCTTAGGGCACTAGGATTTCTCCTACAGTAGCATTCCTCGAGGGCTGATAAGGAACAAAATACTTGGCCTAGAACCGTTGCAGTTGAGGATGAGGAGGAATGACATCATCATGGTTTATAACATACTTAACTCAAGAGTTCACATAGGACAGACACGCTTTCTATGAACTTGGTCCATTCTCGAATTGGGGTGAGAAACTCAAGCTTGTATTTCGGCAACCCCACTCTTCGGTTGGGCGCAGGTTTTTCACGTTCCGAGCGGGAATGGAGTATGTGAAAATGAGTAAGGGCTTCCTATTCCAGCTTCTTTCTCTCAATTCAAAAAAGCAGGTATCTCTCTATGTGAATCAAGGGAAATAAGCTTTTGTTGCTCATAAACATTAGCCTTTTTTGGATATAAAGGATAAAGGATAAAGCATTTGCCGTTGATCAATCCCTTTTTGGGATGCGGCACGCATTCTACTTCCATTTGTACATTCGTAGTGGCGTTTGAATGCGATGTGGCCTATACAATGACTTGCGGGGGCCAGCCGATGTACAAGTCAGTGTTTTTATCCTCCCAGACAAGTCTGGTACCAATTAACCGACCCCGGAGGGATGGAAGGCTTGGTTGGCCCGGGCGACTCACGACCCAGGATTTGATCCCCGGACCGCTCGCGTGGTAAGCGTGCCACTTGCCACTACACCACTTCCGCCCTTTTTCGGACGTTTTTCACATCTTGTTTTGTTTTCTACTTTTTTACTGCTCTAACACATGTGAAGAAGATGTGAGAAATGGAAAAAAGAAAATTGTTTGGAGTTATCAAAATGTTTTCAATTTTACACTGTGTGCAAAGGATTTATAAATGGGTGGAAAGGGAATTCATTTTCCGTGCGCCATGCCTCCACTTTTTCTTGAGATCCTCAGAAAGCTTTATTCAGGGAATTGTAAGCCCTGTGAAATTGGACGGAGCGCAGCTAACCGGATGGACTTCGTGTGCAGTTGATGTGCAACAACTTGTTAACGTCACAGCACTGTCTTCGGTAAGAGCACTTTTTTTTTAAATTTCTTCTTAGAAAAGCATTAAGCAAGTCTGCACACCCGAGCACTTTTCACGGTAATTTCAACCATTGTATTATTATAGCGAGATAAGTTAACAAAGCACTAAAATACCAAATTAGTAGGATAACACAGTGCAAGTTTAATAACAAAATGAAGCCAGCAGTGATTATGTTTGCGCCTATTTATTTTTGGCTAGTCAGATAATCGCTCTCTTAGAAAGCGAAGGATTTGCGATATCGGCTTCCTGGAACGATGTGAGGGAATTTCTGCTCGATAGCGATGCACCTGCAACAGCCAGACCTTTAGGCTGAGAATTCTACTCATATGTATAAAAAGATATTGATTATATAGCCTTTGGTTGTGTTCTTATAATGAAGGTACGGGTAAACCTTATATGGTCTCGTTTCATTGACGCAGAAGACTCATTTTCCTGGTGTAGATTTCGGGGCTCAATTTTTTTCAGAAATTGCAGGAGGGTTCAAGTCAGAGATCCACATTTCAAAAATGGATGATCTCGGCAGGCAGAGATGGGTTCACTCTCCAAACTTGGCGTTATATCTATGACATCCCGAACAACTTCGTTCAAATTCTCTCAATTCTTTTCCTCCATACCTTTCCCGGGACGTACCCCGCCCACCACAGTTTGGAAGAGCAACGACCGCTAGTGATTTCAGGGATGCTTGATTCTGTAATTTTTGAGTGAGAACAACTTATTTATACCTCCTTATAGGTGTTGAGCACATTCAACGTCGGTGACGTTTTCCGCGGTGACTTCACAGCTATCGAAAAAGGTGACACGTATATCGATGTGTCAAACTGGGGAAAAGGAGTGGTATGGTTGAATGGCTTCAATCTCGGTCGATATTGGAGCAGTGCTGGACCACAGGTTAGTATGGTGGACAGAAGTCGTTGCCGTGCCACTCCAAAAACTGCTTCTGTGAAAACTCAAGTTCTGCTGATGTGGCCTGTACAGGGTGGATGATATTTGTAAGCGGGAGCAATGTCGCACCAAAAAATGCACATTCCTCTGACGAGTTTCTGGTTGGAGCTCTCGAATAACAGCAAATATATCAGTTTCATAAGATTTGTTCCGAATGCCTCACATCAGCTTTAAAAGACCCTCCCAAACTAGAATGCGAAATCAAGGGTACACCTATGTAAGATAATGAATCAACCGATCAAAATAGGACGAGACATCAAACATTGTCATATGGCTAGTTTCTTATGCCTCAGACTGCCTTGCATAGATTTCGATGCAAAAACAAGGAAAGGGACCTCTGGGTAAATGAGAGAATATTGTTATTTGCAGAAAGCTGCTCATTACAAGGTCAAGGGGCGTCATCGTAAACATCGGTCAAAAAGCAGCAACCCAACTATACTCAGAGATCATTTAAGAGTTACCCTACTCGGGTCAGCTTACAGATTTCCTTGACTGTCGTCTTGCAACAGTTGAACTTCCTTTCCTGTAACAGGTCTGACCTGAACGCCGAGAGCCTCCAGACCAGCGTCTCCAGAATAGCCATCATTACATATTCTAAAAGTCTCCCGTAGTCACCGTTGATCGTTCAGACTCTTATGCGAACCTTGTATCACCAGGATCTTTTCGATCTCAACACGTCCTCTAGGCAGCATTTCTATGGAAACTGCTGAACCTTTCTCGTTATACATTTCCAAAATTGCTGACCTTTCCTGCAGCCGCGAAATGTGTGGACTTTTGCGATATGCTGGACACTACCACGAGAGTTGCTACCACGAGAGTTGCAGACTTTCGGAAAACAAACTTATATCGAGTCCAAGCCGACGCCGGAAATCACCGCAGTTTGCTCCTTCGGGCCTAACGGATCAGCTACTTGTCGAAGTAACGTTGCTTTTGCATTTTATCGACAAGTGATGTTCCTGAAGTTACTTGCTGAAGCATGATTACACTTTGCGTGATGACCAGTCGATGCATGTCCAGTCGCCTATCAATTGCACACCAAAAACTTGGCGTATAAAAGGATAAAAGGATAAAGCATTTGCCGTTGATCAATCCCGTTTTGGGATGCGGCACGCATTCTACTTCCATTTGTACATTCGCAGTGGCAATGCGATGTGGCCTATACAATGACTTGCGGGGAGTCAGCCGATGTTCATTCGT